AAAAATCCCGGATTAACTGTAGATTCTTTTTTTTTAAATTCCCTATTCGTTATACATTTATCAAAAAAATATGTTATTCATTACAGACTCAGAAAAAAAATCCGGTATTAATTCTATAAAAAAATATTTAGCATTAATTATAAATTTATAACAAAAAACAAACTCCGATATTAATTGTAGGTTTTTGAAATCTAAATCCACAGCCTTGTCACTATTTTTAGAGGAACTCCTCCTTGATTGCCCATGTCTTTAGGAGTGTGGCCGTACTCACCAAGCTCAGAGAGTCTATTTAACTCATAGCTGGAGGTTTTGAATTCATATTTGTGCATCTCCTAGACCGGTTGCCACAAAATCTGTTCTACAATTTATCAAGTATTGTTGAGGTACAAGAGATGTACTCATACCTTTCCCAAGGATGATTTCACAAATGTAACAAACCCGACTGGAATTTGAACTCTGCTAGCCGAGCCGCTACACATTATTACATGTTTTTTTTTTGTAAATCCGATGTTATTTATAGATTTCTAAAAAGAAAATGCAGTATTAATTGTAGGGTTAAAAAATCCAGCATTAATTATAGTGTTAAAATATCTGGTATTAAATATACGGTTAAAAAATTCGGTAATGATTATCAGGATAAAAAATCCAATATTACTTATAGGGTTAAAAATTCAGTATTAATTATATGGTTAAAAAACAGTATTAATTACAGAGTTAAAAAATTATGTGTTAATTATAGGGTTAAAAATCCGGTATTAATTATAGGGTTAAAAAATCAAGTATTAATTATATGGTTAAAAAATATCCAGTATTAATTATATGGTTTAAAGAAACGATATTAATTATAGGGTTAAAAAAAATTCCAGTATTAATTATAAGTTTTAAAAAATCCAGTATTAATTATAGATTTCTAAAAATATATGGAATTAATCATAGTTATAAAAAAAAAAAAAAAAAAAAACCTTATTAATTATAGGTTGCTAAAACAAATCCGGCATTGATTATAAATTTATAACAAAAAATCCAGTATTAATTATAGGTTTATAAAAAAGAATCCAGCTTAATTATAGATTACTTACATTATTCGGACTGTTATCTTCATTGCCATATTCACAACGTTTCGGCTGTTGTACGCGCCAGCCTTCTTCAGGTGACTGGAATTTCGAACTGAACCCTTTACTTCGTCCACCGGAGTAGATTGTTCTAGTTCCATCTGCCATGCCTCTTCGTATGTCTCAGTTATTTCCCTTTAACTCAACTCTCCAAGTTTTTGGTTCACCACTGCTGTGGCCTGGTATTGAACTCACAACTCTTTGGGTTTTGTCACTGGATCTAACCAACGTCTTTATTCACTGGGACAAGTTTACTACTTATAGCCTATTAATGGCCACTATCCCCAAAATGGGACGGTTGGCATTTGAAAGTTGGCTGAAAAACATGGAACCGGAAAAGCGTTTCACAAAAAATAATTGCGAAAAAAGAAAAACCGTTAGCATAGAACTTATGGTTACATCTCGACATTTCAACTGTAAATTGGTGAGACTTTGTTACCAATGTAGTACTGCGCTTAAATTCATTCAAGTCTAGGTTCCACGGAAGAAAATTCATTAGAATAATTGCCATAAAAAATATTTATAGAAAAGACACGACGGTGGAAGTATACCCAGTCCTAAACAGGAAATAAGGGATAAAACCCTACTCCTGTTCACTATTTACATTATTCGGACTATTGTCCTCATCTTTGTTGCCATAATCTACAATTATCTCCATAAAACAACATTAAGTAATCCTCTACCACGAGTGGCTTTTGTGCTTTGTATTGGGGGAGCAATGGAGTAAAAAATAATAATGGTTTTGCGTTGATATTCCAAGTGGAGAAATAGAGTTGACCTTGAAAATAAACATTCGGAATATTGACATCTTGCTTAGGTTTACTTTAAACGCTGACCACTGAAGTAGCTGTTTTGTAGATCACAGACCACAGCAGATCGTCACAAGTTAGGAAGCAACAAGCTTTAATTCGTAAAAATACACGAACACGACACAGATTAACGCGTGAAAAAAAAAACAGATCCAGAAATGTAAATGACGTGCGAAAATTGAAATATTAAAAGCTTTTATCAGCATATTTAATGAACCAATATCCAAATAGCGATCAGAGGACAACAAGAAAGCGGTAACTATGTGTTCGGACAAGTGTTTTCATGGTTAGATTTTTGAGGAAACAAACACCATGTACAGCAATAAGCAAACATCCATTCGAACCAGCAACTATTCTCATTCGGGCATCGAAGTTAGACACTGTCAAGCCTAGATGGGTGACCGCTTGGGAATACCAGGCGCTGTAAACTTGGATGGACGAGTGGTGTAACGGAGAGCCGAGTTCCAATTCCGTTCGGGTTCGTTATATCTATTTGCGCGCAAATACCTTTGGGAAAGGTATGTATCCACCTCTTCTCCCCTCCCGGCTATGAGTTAATAAGTAGGATTTATATCAGTAAATCATTATTATCTCCCCCAAACTCTTACAATCTCAACATATTGTCTGACTTTAAATAACCCCCAAAAAGTAGGTACCTCCACTAAAATCGCTATACCTAAAGTTTAAATTAATTTTTAAAAATGTAAAAAGCTTACTTGAAGCTTTCATTTTCGCTTTAATTGAAAGCTAAAAGATTAAATTTACTCTGATGTATTTCAAAGAGAAATTATATTGATTAGAATCGATTTTAATTTTTTTCAGGAATATCGACAAAGTCGTCCATTTTTTGGATATTTGTAAACACAAATTAGTTCTCGGTTTTACAAATCTTGCAAAAATAAAATATGCTTTTCTGAAACTTTATTTGAGGAATATTAGCTGATTTAAATTATAACTAATCTGATTTGAAACAAATAGTATTTACTTTAATTTTAAAATATCACAAAAATTAATTTTTAAGCAAACAGTAGCAGAGTTTTTAACCAACAGTAGCCGTGTTTACGTGTTTGACAGATATTATTCTACGCAGACTTTATTTGTAAAACATAATTTTAAAAAACGACGTCAGCGATATTTTTATATAATTTTTAGCACTCAGTAATTTTTAAAATTTTGGAAAATATTCTCCGTAATCTAATTTTAAGAATGTTGACTTTAAATTTACTATAGCATCGCACTTATTTTTTGATAATATTATGTATGGCCGCCTATATTTAAAAATGGACAAGTTTATACACAACAAAAATCAAAATTCTTTTAAAATTCTTGGTGACTGAAGACTGGTATCAAGCTTTCTTTATCATTTATGATTAGTAAATATAGTTTACATTTAATTATTAAAAATACACCTTTAAGTGTTTTAAGTGCGTCGTCAGTGCTGTTGCTCCGATGTCACTAGAAGTTTCGGGTCTAAATAAACAACAGACTTCTTTGATGGGCCCACCCGACCGAATACAGTATTCGGACTGCACCCAGAATAAAATTTGCTACTAGCTTTATGACGTGCATTATATAAGTTCCCACAGAAAACGACAACTAATCAAGACTTCACTTGGTCTATTCGATGTTATAGATCGGGTATGCTTGGTTGTACTGATCTTCCGACATGCAGCCAAGACAGGGTATTTTTTTAGAAGAGAAGAAAACAAACTCATAAATATATATATATATACATTAATAAAATAAAAACGATTTGTTATATTGGCTCGTTTTACGACTTACTTTTCTTTCTCTTCCTTCCCTTTTAAATTCTTTATTATATCTTATTTGTTTGGTCTTTCTCTTTTTATAACTTTCTTTTTTATTCTTATTTTTTCTTAACTACAAAACGTATACAATAGTGATTAAAATGACTTAGACTATTTACACAAAAAAAAAAACTCCTAAAATACGGTATGAATAATAATATTATCTGAAACGTGGAAATTAATACCGAATTTTAAAAGAATTTAAAACTTAATTTTTTTCTAACTTTATTAAAGTTTCAAAAAATGAAAACAATTCTCGTAAAAATTCATTATTCCTCGATTTTTTTCCCTTAGACAACAGTGCCCTTAAAAGCAATTAATAGTTGTTGTTTTGTTTTTTTTAATTAAATAATGTCTTAGTTTTATTGCATTTCTTGTTTTACTATTCGGAGCAGATTTTCAGTAAATAGTGTTTCTGTTTGACAAAAAAGAAATTGATGATTTAAATTCCCCAAGGAGTCCTGCTTTTAACTAATATAAATATGAAAAGGCTGAAATTTTAATTTCTCGAAATTCCATAAAATTAAGTAAGTGGGGGGGTAACAAATATAAAAAAAAAATAGATATACCAAGATTTTCTAGAAAGAAAAATTTCAAATATAATTTCATTCATTTCTGAATAAGTCTTGAAGATTTCATTAAAATCCGGCAATTATTTGATTTTTGCAAGAATTTCTAAAACAATGTGTTGTTTTTTTTGTTTTGTTTTATTACTTTTTTTGTCGTAAAAAAGACGCTAAAATTTTCATAGTAATCATAGCGCAAGACGCAAGAAAAACAAGATTTTTAACCTAAATTTCGAACGTGCGAAAAAATTTAATAAAATAATTAAAAAAAATATATTTTGGTCTTTCCTCTTAAACATTTTGACGATAAAACTCTGTTTTCATCAAGTTTAGGGACTTTTTTCATCGTGATATGCTCTCTTTTAGCGAAAAAGTGGAGATATCTACGCAGAAGTCGTATGAAAAACAAACGAATCCTTCCTACCCAGTGACAACACACAGACAAAAGGTTAGGGAAACGTAATAAAACAACACCGCACTTGAATCTTCGTTTCGCAAAACGATTCAATTGTAGACATGAACTGCTAAGGTTCCTGGCTGGTAACTGCAGCAACAGTTTTGAGGAAGCGGATCAAGAGAACGCTATAATGGGTGGAGTGGGGTGTATGTGAATAGAAGCTTTTAAATGAAACGTGAATTTGTTTGATCACTCTCCTTCTTCTTCCATCGACAGGGTTCTTTGTGGAAAACTCTTCTTGCGATGGACTAACGAGTGAGCAAAGCAGCTGCCTGGTGTCTGGAAAGCATAGCGAGAGAAAGGGGAGAAGAGCGAATTGATTGCGGAAGACGCAAACAACGGGAATATCTGACAGGGTGCCGGGAGAATAGAATATTGAGGAGCAACAGTCGGAGGACAATAAAGACGACGGACAAAAGCAGAGAAGGAAGAGGGTGAGTTTCGGGTGGGAAATTAGGAGTAGCCATTAAAAAAGGAAACTCTCTCTGGTAGAGGAAAGAACGAGAGGAAGGGGAAAGCGTCGATTAAACAATATCGGCGGGGTGAGGTGGTGGGGAAATCAATTTAAATGGCAAAGACTTTATAAAGAGGGAATAAGTAATGATGATGGAGAAAGAGTGAGACAAGACGAATAATAAAAGATATTTAAAAGCAATAAAACCGAGAGGGGACTCAAGTGAACGGAGGAAATTGTAGTAGGGGATGGATGTTAAAGTGTGATGGGGTGGGGGAAGCATGTTAGGAAGAATCCACAAAATGTACTTTAAAGAAAGAACAGACTGGCATAGATAGATAGATAGATAGATAGATAGATAGATAGATACGGAACAAACTTAGATAGATAGATAGATAGATAGATAGATAGATAGATAGATAGATAGATAGATAGATAGATAGATAGATATGCATATGAGCCTAGGACAGAAATTGCTCAGTCCCCGCGACCAAAGTCACACCGCCATCGATATTACACTGATCTCACCTAGATAGCTTTTACTTTGGAAAAAAGTTCTGTCATATTTTTACCATGATCAATTTGATTTCCAATATTTAGGATAAATAACAGTACGTCTCAATGCTTTTTTTTTTCATCCTTATTTACAATTGTTTTTTTATATCAGAGTGGGTAAATTTTGCATTTATTTTAACCTTTTAAAATGATTTTAAATCCGGCCCATACCAGACTTTATATGCTAGATGAATTCTAAAGGGCTTTTCAGCGACGGAAAATCGTCGTTTAAATTAGTTAAAAGCAGAAGTCCTTGGAGAATTTAAATCAACATCTTTTTTTTCCAAACAGGATTCTCAATTTCCGAAAATCTGCTATAAAGTTTTAAATCTTTTAAAATTCTGTTTTAATTTGTACCGATTAGGTGATATAGTTATTGAGTAAAAACTACATTTATTAATCATAAATGGAAAAGCTTACTAGAATTCATCGAAGCCCACTCTACCAATATTTTAAATAGAATTTTGAATATTTTTTTTTTTTTTTTAGATCGGGCCCATGCCAGTGAATGTAGGCAAGATGAATTCTAATAGGGTTCATCAGCAACGGAAGCGGTGTGAGATATTCAATTTTGTCAATGGGAATGAATCTTAAGTGTCCGATCATGCCAATGTTAATTTGGCCATTTTCGATCGGGAAATGTTCCTCTCACAGTGTCCCCTCGAACTGTCAATATTAAGTTTCTGCAAACCGTAGTGTGGTTTGGTTTGGTTTGATTTATCGATATCTCTCCTAACTCATTTTGTTTATATAACTATCTATTTCTCTTAATATCTATCTGTTTATCGATATCTCTCTATATACATATCTGTGCCTATCTCTCTTACTTTGTTCATAACTATCTATCGATATATCTATCGATCTCAGTTTCTATCTATCTATCTATCTATCTATCTATCTATCTATCTATCTCACTTTGTGCAGATTTATCTACCGACATCTCTCGCTAACTCAGTTTGTTTATATTTGCCTATCTATCTTTCCGTCTATCGATATAGACATCGACATATACATCTCAGTTCGTTTATATCTATCTATCTATCTATCTATCTATTTATCTATCTATCTATCTATCTATCTATCTTTGTTCATATCGATCGATACATCACTGTATGTTTCTATCTATCTATGTATCTATCTATATATATATATATATGTGTGTGTGTGTGTGTGTGTGTGTGTGTGTGTGTGTGTGTGTGTGTGTGTGTGTGTATCGTTCATAGGCCATTCTGTTGGTTTGGTTAGGTTTGTTTTACAGCATATCAACCTCAATGGCTTATTTAATACCGACAAGATTTTTATTGCTAGTAATATTTTTTTCAAAAATGTTTTGCTGGTATTTTTTTTCTCCAAAAATGAATAGCTGTTTATTTTTTTATGTTTTTTTTGTTTTTTTTTTTTCAAAAAATGTATTACTGGTAATAATTTTTTTCCTTCAAAAATTCATTACTAGTATTAAAACATATTTCTACACTTTCATAGTATTTTGACCCCAGTTTGGTGGGGGGTAACTATTTGCCCATAGCTGGGACCCTAAAAGATGATACCACTCCGTGTCAGGTTAGATCTAGGAATACCAGCAATTAAGAGGTGGTTCCACCAGTGGCGTAGCTAAAGTAAACGTCACCCGTGGCAGTCCGCTCAAATGTCATCCCAATGACCCCCGTTCACCCTAGGCTGAATGGTTAGCTGTAGCTAAATTTTCATACATGCTCTACCTCTACTTTACTCTACTGACCTGTACGTTACTCAGTTCAAATCAAAAGCTGAAAACATTGCTATATTTCCCGACAATTTATTAGAAAATTTCTGAGGTGGGGGGGGGGCAAAACTGGTGGGGGGGTCATATGCCAGCCTGCGAAACCCTGTGTCTCCACCACTATTTTCAGACTATTTTTGGCACCTTAGCCTGGTTGAAAAATTTTGTTGGGGGTAAAATTGTGTCACCCCTCCTGTGCTGGCACCTGGGGCAGTCCGCCCCCCCTCGCCCCCCTTAGCTACGCCACTGCTGGGTTCCACGCTCCTCAAAACCTCCGGATCAGAGGCCTTGCTGTAGGGTGTAGTTTATCGTCTTACCCAGGACGTTGCAAACCGTAGCTGAGGAGAATTCTAAGCAAAAAATTAACAATACAATTCAATACAAGTCACACTTCGATAGTAAAACACATTAATGAACTTGTAGAAAGTGTCTGAAATTGGTCAATGCGTTCCTCATCATCTGACAACATCCCAGCTTAATCAAAGACTTTCCCTCTGCTCGACATTAATGAGTAGACTCACAAACGAAACTTTCCTGGATAGAATCGTATCCAGTGATGAAAAATGGTTTCTTTCTAATCATCTCCAATGAAAATAGTTAGCACCTACTGCAAAAAAAGAATCCATTCCCAAACTAAGACTACACCCCCAAAAAGATTATCATCTATGTGTGGTGGGATATAAAGGGTGTAGTCTCTTATGAAGTGCTAAAACAGGAAGATTTCTTTGATGACAACGACAGAGTACTGAGCTGCTGCGTGACATCTCTCCTTCTTTACGGCAGCAAATGTTGGACGATTTCCTCAAAGATGAAGAAGAAACTCAAGTAGACAGAGATGTGGTTCTACAGAAGGAAACTAATAATATCATGGAGCAACGATGAGGTCTTGGAGAGGAGGCAAACAAGGAAGAAGTTTATGCTTAACATAAAGAAGAGACAGATGAAATTTCTGGGACACGTAATGAGAAAACAAGGCCTGGAGAATCTAATACTCACTAGTCGAATAGAGGGGAAAAAGAGACAAGGGAAAACAACGCTTGAAATACCTGGTGGGTTTAAGCGAGTGGATGGCAGAACGTGATATGGGGGAGTTGGCAGAGGCACAGAACGTATTGAGAGCTACAAGGGTTAAGGGTAAGTGGGGAGCCATGATCTCCTATGTCCTGAAATGACACGGCACATAAAAAAGCAAAAGAAGGCAAAAAGAAACAATTAATGCAGAGTATTGTCGTCAGAAGAATAGCAAAAGCAACATAGAAAATGCATTTATCGATTCCAAAATCGAGTTCTTCTTACACTACAATGCAAGAGCAAATATTGGCAAAGTCACCTCAGGAAAAGATGATGTCATTAATTTTTGGAATTTTTGCCTTATCCTCCTTACTCTCCTGATTTTGCTCCATCTGATTATCATCTTTTCAGATCAAGGCAACATATTTTTAAAGAGAAAATTATTTATTGTGAAGATGTTAAAACTGATATTAAGTGTTTCTTTGCATCGGAAACAGACGAATTTTACACCCGAGCGATTAACAATTTGCTAAAGAGAAGGATTACAAAATTAACAGGAAATATTATTATGATTAAATCAATTAAAACTAAATAAGCATTTGTTTCTTTTCCATCTTCAAATGCGACAGGGCTGTTTTACAAACTGATAGATAGATAGATAGATAGATAGATAGATAGATAGATAGATAGATAGATAGATAGATATGATCAGAATGAGATAGATAGATAGATAGATAGATAGATAGATAGATAGATAGATAGAAGCATATATACATACGTACATATATATACATACATAGATAGACATATATAGACGGCTACATACATAGGTATAGATGGATAGATAGATACATACATACATACGTACAAAGGCATAAATTTATAGGCTTAGATAGATAGATAGATTTGCATAGACTGGAATAGATAGATAGATAGATAGATAGATAGATAGATAGATAGATAGATAGAAGCATATATACATACGTACATATATATATATATATATATATATATATACATAGATAGACATATATAGGCGGCTACATACATAGGTATAGATGGATAGATAGATACATACATACGTACAAAGGCATAAATTTATAGGCTTAGATAGATAGATAGATAGATAGATAGATAGATAGATAGATAGATAGATAGATTTGCATAGACTGGAATAGATAGATAGATAGAAGCATATATACATACATACGTACATATATATATACATACATAGATAGACATATATAGACGGCTACATACATATGTATAGATGGATAGATAGATACATACATACGTACAAAGGCATAAATTTATAGGCTTAGATAGATAGATAGATAGATTTGCATAGACTGGAATAGATAGATAGATAGATAGATAGATAGATAGATAGATAGATAGATAGATAGATAGATAGATAGATAGAAGCATATATACATATATACATATATATATATATATATATATATACATACATAGATAGACATATATAGAGGCTACATACATAGGTATAGATGGATAGATAGATACATACATACATACGTACAAAGGCATAAATTTATAGGCTTAGATAGATAGATAGATAGATAGATAGATAGATAGATAGATAGATAGAAATGAATGGACTGAGATAGATAGATAGATAGATAGATAGATAGATAGATAGATAGATAGATAAAATTAGTAATATCAGACTAATTGTCATAGACAAATCAAAAACAGAATTCCGAGTGACATGTTTCGTTGAAAGTTTTTCAAACTAACGACAAAATGAGTTTTCCTATATAAATGGAGGGAAGAGTTGAGCAGGAAAAACTACAGACGCCGATTATAATTTAAAAGAAAGCATAAAAATACATTTATCCCTCCACCCTGATGTCGATCCTCACTGGGTGCTACATACTTTCGGCCTTGTGCCACATTTGAGCTACGATTAGTAAATCACCATTTATATCTCCACCCTGCTCCGTTTTTATATATAAAACTTTAACGATCAACGCCGCTAAGAATTTTTATTTTTGTATTGTGTCATCTGTGTGTGTGTGTGTGTGTGTGAGTGCATGTGTGTGTGAGTGCGTACGTGTGTGTGTGTGAGTGCGTGTGTGTGTGCGCGCACGCGCGTCTAATCTCTGT